AGCCCCCCAGGGGATAGCCAGGTAGGAGGCAAGCTGACACGCAGGAAGAAGCGACGTGAGAGGCAGGAGAGAAGAGGAGAGGAGCAGTGGGGCGGGAGAAGGAGAAGACGCGCGGGCAGTGTTCTAATTAAAACGAGTACCCAACGCAGGAGGATTGGGAAAAACTGCCTCCAGACGCCCCAAGACGCCTCCCATGAGACCCAATCAGCCATCCGAGTGGCCTCAGACCCGCAAACCAAACACGCTGGCGGGATGTGCCGAAGGACGTTCGATCCGCCGCCCCCTGTCGATTCATCGCAGGGGTGCCTGGCGTGCTGAATCCTCTCGGTTTTGGTGTTGGTTCTTTCTCCACACGAACTCCCCCTGGGGCCCCGGCGCGTCCCGCCAGGGTCCCGGGAGGATTGCCAGGGAGCAGGAGTTCCCCAATGTTTCCTCCAAGACGGCTGAAGATGGCCTCCAAGATGTGGCCACTTTGGCCCAAGATGGCCTCCAAGATGGTCCAAGATGGCCTCCAAGTCCGCCTAAGAGAGGAGGAGGTGCCTCCAAGTCCGCCCAAGAAACCTCCAAGACGACCCAAGACGGCCCAAGAGGTGCCCAAGAGGCCTCCAAGACGGCCCAAGAGGCCTCCAAGAGGTCCTCCAGGAGGGCCCGAAGAGGCCAAAATCCGCCGACCCCTTGGGGTCATCGGCGTGTGAGATGCTTCCCCCCTCCCCAAACCCCTCCCCCCGGAGCCTGGTCCGGTCGTTTTGGAGGGGGGGGGGGGGGGTCCGGCCGGATTCCCCGGGATCCGCCGGCGCGGTCCGGGGGGGGTCATCCGCTCCAGAGAGTCTGCTGGGGGGGCCGCAAACGAGCGAAGAGGCTCCCAAGAAGCTCTGCAGACGGTCCAAGAGGGCCCCGAGTCGCCGAAAAAACACTCGAAGACGGTCAAGATGGCCTCCAGATGGCCCCAGATGCCTCCAAGACGCCCCAAGAAGCTTCCAAGACGCCTCCCAAGATGGCCCCAAGAGGCCAAAATCGTCGATTTCCATTGGTTTTTTCAACGTTTTTGGCCTTCGCGTTTTTTCGGGCTTCCGACGCTCCAAGACGGCGAAAGAAGCCCCCAAGACGGCATCAAGACGACCCGAGAGGCTCCCAAGTGGGCCCCAACACGGCCCAAGAGCGCCTCAAAACGGCTCAAGAGGGCCTTCAGACAGTCCAAGAGGGCCCACAGAGGGGCCCAAGAAAGGCTCCAGACGGGGACCACGAACCTAAAATTCTAGCCTTCCGCCCCAAAAGGCGCCAAGGAGGCCCCAAGAGGCCTCCAAGAGGCTCCAAGAAGCCCCCAAGAGGCCCCCAACAAGCCCAAAAAAAGCCCCAAGCTGCCCCAAAACAGCTCCCCAGAAGCCTCCAAACTGCCTCCCGCAGGCCCCCGAGAGGATTCTCACGACGACGGCGCCAGAGGCTCCCACAACGGTCAACGAAGCCCCCAAGATGGCCCCAAAAAGGTGCCCAGCCTACGCCGTCGAGTCTGTCGCCGCCATTGTCGTCCTCGTCGTGTTCTCCTGCTCCTTCTCATCCTCCTCTTCCGCCCCCTCCTCCCGTCTCCCCTCTCAGCTTTCTGTCTCGTATTCCCTCCACTGGCTCACTTTTCACCTTCTCCGCCTTTGGCTGCTCCCCCATCCTCCCTCCTCCACGTCCCCCTTATCCATCCCGTCCCCAGCGGTCAGATTCCTCGCAACTTCCGTGCCTTGTCGCAATGCTCGTCACTTGGTTCCGCCGGGCGTTTCGGAGGAGGAGGAGGAGGAGGAGGAGGAGGAGGTTAATAATAATAATAACAATAATAATGATGATAATAGTAGTAATAATAGTAGTAATAATAATAATAATTATTAACAAAAAATAATAATGATAATACTAATAAAAATTATTATTATTATTATTATTATTAATAATAAGAATAACACTAATAATACTAATGATAATACTAATAAGAATAATAATAATCACAATAATAATAACACTATGAACAATAATAATAGTATTAATAATAATAATAATAATAAGAGTAAAAATAATAATAATAATAAGAAAAATAATAATCCGCCGACCCCTTGGGGATCATCGGCGTGTGAGATGCTTCCCCCTCCCCAAACCCCTCCCCCGAGAGCCCGGTCCGGTCGATTTGGAGGGGGGGGGGTCCGGCACGAGCGCAGCACGGCCGGGACGAGCGCAGCACGGCCGGGACGAGCGGTTCACGGAGCTTTTCCGGGCCCAAGAGGGCCTCAAGACGGGCCAAGAAGCCCCCAAGAGGCCTCCAAGACGGCCCACGAAGGCCCCGAGACGCCAAACGACCGCTCCAAGACGCCCAAGATGGCCCCAAGACGGGCCAAGAGGTCTCCAAGACGGCCCCCGAGGTCCCAAACAAGCCTCCCAAGAGGCCCCAAGAGTCTAAAATTGTTGATTTTCCATAGTTCCTGTTTTTTGCTGTTTTTTGCTTTTCCGCCTTTTCGGCTTCCCGACGCTCCAAGACGGCCAAAGAGGCCCCAAAGACAGCCCCAAGATGGCCCAAGAGGCCCCCAAGACGGCCTCCAGACGGCCCAAGACGGCCCCAACACGGCCCAAGAGGTCCCCAAGACGGCCCAAGAGGGCTCCAAGACGGCACCAAGAGGGGCCCAAGAGGGCGACCAAACATGTTGAAACTCTAGCTTTCTGCCCCCAGGAGCCCCAGGGGGCCCCAAGAGTGCCCCAAGAGGCCCCCAGAGGCCCTCACGAGGCCGCCCAGACGCCCCAAGGAACCCCCAAGAAGCACCCCAGAGGCTCCGAAACGGCCCCCAAGTGGCTCCAAAACTCGCTTCCAGAGGCCCCCGAGAAGCGATCCGCGAGATCCCGATACACATACAAGAAGCCTCTCACCCATAACCCATAACCCAGAGCCCCTTCGCAGCTTCTACTACCCCCAGATTGGCATAAACAAGGGGTCGGCGGTGTGGCGTAAGCCTAAGAATCATTGATTTTCCGTAGGTTCTTAATAGGTTTTTCGTATTTGCTCCTTTTCGGCTTACCGACGACCCAAGACGGCCCAAGAGGCCCCCAAGATCGCCCCGACAGCGCCCAAGAGGCCTCCAAGATGGCCTTAGGACTGCCCAAGAGGCCCCCAAGACGGCCCCAAGAGGGCACAAAGACGACCCAAGAGGCCTCCAAGACGCCCAAGATGGCCTCTAAGACGGCCCTGGAGCACCCCAAGAGGGCCCCAAGTCGGCCCAGAGAGGCCCCCAATACGGCTTCCGACAGCGTCAGACGGGCCAGGAGCCCACCAAGACGGCCGAAGTTGGCTCGAAGCTGGCCCAAGACGGCCCAAGAGGCCTCCAAGAGGGCCTCCAGGAAGGGCCGAAAAGACCGAAATCATTGATTCCCCATGAATGTTTGAAAGATTTTAACGTTTGCTTCTTTTCGGCCATCCGAAGGCCCGATACGGCCCAAGAGCCACCAAAGATCACGCAAAGATCGGCCAGGAGGCCTCCAAGATGACCCCAGAACGGCCCAAGCGGTCCCCAAGACGGCCCCAAGAGAAGACGGCCCAGGAGGCTTTTAAGACGCCCAAGATGGCCTCCAAGACGGCCTTTGAGCATTCCAAGAGGGCCCCAAGTCGGCCCAGAGGGGCCCCCCAAACAGCTTCCGACGGCGTCGAACGGGCCAGGAGCCAACCAAAACGGCCGAAGATGGCCCTAAGATGGCCCAAGACGGGCCAAGAGGCTTCCAAGAGAGCCTCCAGGAAGGGCCGATAAGACCAAAATCATTGATTTTCCATAATTGTTTGAAGGATTGTGGCATTTGCTTGTTTCCGGCCTTCCGACGGCCCGAGACGGCCCAAGTACCCCCAAAGATCGCCCAAGAGGCCCACGACGGCCCCAAGAGGCCCCAAGACGGCCCAAGAGGCCTCCAAGACGCTCAAGATGGCATCCAAGACGGCCCAAGAGCCCTCCAAGACGTCCTCCAAGAAGGCCCGAAAGGGTCAAAGTGGCCTCCAGACGGCCAAGATGACCTTCAAGATGCCCACGTGTTCCTCGAAGGCTTTCCAAACCGTTTCGGGGAACACATGGTCCGATAGGTTGGCAGGTCTGGCCTCAACTTTCGGCCACATAGGCGCTTCCAAAAGGGCAGGGGGCGGCGGTGATGCGCCGTAGGCGTCTGCGATATTCATTCGTCGGGTGTTTCGACAGATGTCCTCCGTCTGTATACGTGGGTTCTCGCCACATGCCCCATGCGTGCACGGCGAATTCTGAGAATGCCAGCCCAAGAGGCCCCGAAAAGGCCCCCAAGAGGCCCCCAAGAACACCCAAAAGGGCTCCACGAAGCCCCCACCAGGCGCACAAAAGGCCCTCAGACGCAACACGCAACAACCGCCAGTTCCCCAAGGGGTCGGCGGTGTGGCGTGAGCCCAATAATTAAAATGCTAGAAAAATCGTCCCCTGACTTGTTTTGACTATTTTTGATTACTCCTCCTGTAGAGGGACATGCCCGACTTGACCCAAGGTAAGTCTAGTACGTTCGTGGCTGGCTCCGGGTCTGTTCAAGGTGTGCTGCCCTCCCCCCCCCTTCCGTTCAAGGCCTTTCTGGGTAAGGGTGGGACTCGCTTCCACGGCTGGGCACGGCCAGGAAGACGGGTTGGGACGGTGCCAAGGAGGGGCCCGGGGGTAGGTGGAGGAGCAGAATGAGATGCGAGAGGCAGAGAGGGCAAGAGAGAAAGATAGATAACAAACCCACATGTCAAAAACAAAGAGAGAGAGAGAGAGTGCAAGAGAGAAAGACAGAGAACAAACTCACATATCAAAAAATAAAGAGAGAGAGAGAGAGAGAGAAGCAGGGAGGGCGGGAGTGAGGGAGTGACGCGGGCGAAAAGGACGAGGACGCAGAGCCAGGACAGTGACGCAGGCAAGAGCGAGAGCGAACAGGAGAGGCCCCGCGCCCTACCGTTTATCCTCCTCCCCGTGCGCAGACGCCTCGAGGGCCCCAGCCCGTGCGGCGCCTCCGGAGTCGTACCACGCGTTCTCCGTGAGCCCCATCATGAGAGGGACCCAATCCTCGCACCGCGTGACGGACGAGGCGGTGGTGCTGGAGGCCACTGTTATATCTCCTCCTGCTCCTCCTCCTCCTCCTCCTCCTCCGCCTCCGCCTCCTCCTCCTCCTCCTCCTCATCCTCCTCCTCGGGTGAACCAAAGCTTCCTGATTGTCCTCAATCCGCCACCATGCGCCAATCCGCCACCGTGGGCCACCATGCCCCCTGGCACGCTGAGGCGAGGTAGAATGCCACGTGCTGCCTGGTAGCCTTTCTGTAGTATTATAAAGGATCCCTTCCCCTCCGTCGAAGCGCCCCAACGATCCATTTACGAAGGCGCCGAAAGGCCTCCCAAGAGACCCCCACCTGGACCCAAGAGGCGTGTGGCCTAGAACCCCAGCACGGTGGCGGGATGAACCGAAGGCCTAAGCGTTGCCCTCCATCTAACAAGCGACTGTTTCCAACAACGCAACGTCACACGTCAACTTGGGAAAACGACCACAATCAAACAATTTCCAGATCCCAGCGAGTGCATGCGCAATTGACATCGAAAATTCAACATGAGCCAGCGGAATGAGCGAAGTGCTTGGACACGTTTCAAACGCGGCTGCATACTCATCATATCCATATACGGAAAAGGTATGAGGCGGTTGAAAGAGATTGGAGTGGATAGGAACCAACAGGCTGCATAGCCAGGGATCCAATGAAAAACCCATGGGAATTCTCAGCACGACTCAAGTGGACTCCATTTGACTCACCTGAGAGCACGCAATAATACTTAGCAACATTGAGATACATAAACATGCACATACACATATAGTGAATACGTGGGGGCAGACTATACATAGACATGGCAGGTAGACATTTCGATGTATATGCGCAGATCAGTTGTAAACACGAATCTTACGTCTGTATATACAAACACATACTACCATAAAGACAGACAGACAGACAGACAGACGGACGGACAGACAGACATGATATGTGTGCTGTATATATATATATATATATATACATGTATATATGTATGCCCGTATCTATATGTATATATAGAGATATGGGAATGTATCCGCCACCGTGCCTCTGGCACGAAGTAGTTCCAAATGCTCACAGCTGTGCTGCTGCTGCAGCCAAGATTGATGTTTCTTAAGTGCCCAGACCACCAATTTCTCAAGCGCTTCCGGGCGCTCTTGGGCGCTCCTGGGGTATTCCGCATGGGCCTCCGAGACGGTTGCAACGCCCCAAGATCGTCCCAAGACGGCCCAAGAGGCCCCTAAGAGGGCTCCAAGACCGCCAAGGAGGGTCCCAAGACGGCCCAAGAAGCCCCCAAGACGGCCCCAGGACGGCCCCAAGAGGAAGACCACAGAGGGAACCCGAACGAACAGTTCGAGCCTTCGACCCCAAGACGCCCTCAGGAGACTCTAAGAAGCTCCCAAAAGGCCCCAAGAGACTCCCAAGAGGCCCCCAAGAGGGACCCAAGAGGCTCCCAAGAGGCCCCATAACTGCTTCCCAGATTGGTCCCCGAGAGAGATCCGAAGCGACCCCAAGAAGCATCCCTGCGAACTCCGACCCACAAGCCAGGCACGGTGGCGGGATAAGCCGAAGGTCTGTATCTACTTCATGTATTTATATGTATATGCATCTATGGGTATACTCATACACACATGCATACATTCATGTACGCATGCATGCGTACATCCATGCATTAATCCATCTATGCATGCATGCATACATACCTATGTGAACAGGCACACGCACATAAGCATGCATACATACTTACATACATACATGCATGCATACATTCACAAGTGAATTTATAGATGTATACAACAGACTCGCAACCATGCCCATCTACCGATCTCCCTACCTACCTGCATGCCTGCCTACCTACCGGTCTGTCTACCGACATGCATGCATATACACATACAAGCAGGCAGACAGACAGACATTCATAGCTATCTGTATATATGGACAGTATCACTTGCATGTGTGCGTGCATAGATACATACATGCTGGCATGCGTATATACACACATCTACATACACTCTTGCATATATCTATAGATACATACGTACGTGCATACATATCTATATATATATACACGCATGCATGCATACATACGCACGTGCCTTGCGTACATACAAACTTGCGTACACATACAAATAAACATACTTACACACATGCATACATACATGCATGTATACATACATACATGCATACATACATACATACATATATACATGCATGCATACATACATACATACATACATACATACATACATACATACATGCCTGCAGTGATACATTCACATATACATACACCTATACGAACACCTATATACATACATGCATACACGAATAACTCTATACATACATGCATACAGACAGACAGACAGACAGGCAGACATACACACTCACATACACACAGACACACATACATACATGCATGCATACATACAGACATGCATGCATGCATTAATGTGCATGCACGCATGCATGCATGCATGCATTCACAGATATACATGTGTGTAAATGACTGCAAACGCCGAATCTACATAAACTAGAACCATCGCGCACGCTTCGCGCGCGCTCAGATTCTAGTAGGCCCCAGGCCTTGACGAATTCACTGCTCCGCTGAAGTAGTGGACCACAGTGCCAATCTGCATTCCGAAAGGCCTTCGAGGAAAATGGTTATGTAGGGGGGCGGAGGCCGTATGAACCGGGTTCCCAGAAGGCCTACTGGGAGCATGGGTTTGGGGGCGTCTTGGGGAGCCTGCTGGGGCGTGCCGTCGTCGTCGTCGTCGTCGTCGTCGTCGTCGTCGTCGTCGTCGTCGTCGTCGTCGTCGTCGTCGTTTCGTCGTCGTCGTCGGTGCAAGAGGGCACTTGGGGCAACTTTGTGCGAAACGATCTGCGGAGGGCCGCGAGAAGGCGATCAGTCATGTTCCCAATCAACTTCCCAGACAGCTCTCCTGTAGCATGATGGTACTTCGAAACCTCCGGAGACTCGAGGGCCCATGATGAACCATGTCCCCGGAAGGCTTTCTGGGGACATGGTCAGTTGGGGTGTGTTGGGGGGTCTCTTGGGCGTTCCCTGGGGACCCCTTGGGGGCCTCCGGAAAATCTCGGGCCCATGATGAACCATGTCCCCGGAAGATTTTCTGGGGACATGATTTCTTGGGGTGTGTTCGGGGGCCTCTTGGGCGTTCCCTGGGAGCCCCTTGGGGGTCTCTTGAGGCTTCCTGGGGGCCTCTTGGGCGCCTCACGGGGCTTCGTGGGATCCTCTTGGTGGCCTCCGGGGGCCTACATGCGGCCGCTAGGGCCAGACCTCGAAATATCGGTTGGCGGTCCCCCTCGGGGCCCTCTCTTGGCGAGCTCTTGGGGCACAGTTGGGTTGTCTGGGGAGCCTCCTGGGCCGTCTTGGGGCCCTCTTCGGGGCCTCGTGGCCCGTCTTGGAGCGATCTGAAGAGCCTCCGAGCGAGGCCGTGAGGGAGCGCTGGGAAGCGGGGAAAGCGAGAACGCCTGAATCCTTCAAAAACCATCGGAAAATTAGTGAAGCTTGCCTCCCAGGGCCCTCTTGGGGAGCCTCTTGAGTCCGTCCTGGAGCGCGTTGGAGTCCTCGTCGGCCGTCTTGAGGGCAGCTTGGGCGTCTTCGGAGCCTCTTGGGACCGTCTAGGGCCCTCTCGGGACCTCCATTAGCCTGTCGTGGCCTGCTTCGTCGGGGCGGGCCCGGGCCGCCTCGGGACCCCTCTGTGCCTTCCCTTGGCGCGCTCTTGGGGCACACTTGGGTTATCTGGGGAGCATCCTGGGCCGTCTTGGGGCCCTCGTCGGGGCCTCGTGGGCCTTCTTGGAGCGATCTGAAGGGTCTCCGAGGCCATGAAGGGAGTGCTGGAAAGCGGGAAAAGCGAGAACGCCAAAATCCAAAACACTCGGAAAACTACTGAATCTTGCCTTCCAAGGCCCTCTTGGGGAGCCTCTTGATTCCGTCCTGGAGCGTGTTGGAGTCCTCGTCGGCTGTCTGGAGGGCATCTTGGGCGTCTTCGGGACCTCGTGGGACAGTCTTGGGCCCTCTCGGGCCCACCTCAGCCTGTCGTGGCCTGCTTCGGGGCGGGCTCGGGCCGCCTCGGGAGCTCTGGACCCCCCCCGCAACCCCTAGTGGGCACCGATAGGGGAAACAGGCAGCGGCCCGCCCCCCCCGCCCCTGGGCCTACTCCGAGATAGAGAATCAGGTTCCCGGGAAGCTTTCGGGGAGCATGATTTGTTCGGCTCTCTAACAGGGGGGCCTCTGGGGGCTTACCGAGGGGCGCCTTTTGGCCTTGTCGGCAAGCCTATTGGAAACATGGCCAGGGCGGTGGGCGGAAGCCCAAGGAATCATGTTCCCGGAAAGCTCTGGGAAATACGAAAGTGTCTTCAGGGCCCGCAGGGGGCTTCCCTGGGGGCCCCTTGGGGGCCTATTGGGGCTTCCAGGGGGCCTCTTGGGAGCCTCACGGGGCTTCTTGGGAGACTCTTGATGGCCTCCGGGGGCGTCCTAGGAGCCTCTCAGGCTGGAGACCTTGAAATGTCGCACTCTTCGGGCCCTTTAAATCGCACTTGGGGCTCTCTTGGGGCGCTCTCGAGGCCCTCTTGACTTATCTGGGGAGCTTCCTAGGCCGTCTCTGGGCTTTCTTGGGAGCCTCTTCGGCCGTCTTGGAGCGATCTGAAGGGCCTCTGACGCGATCCGGGACCGTTGGGAGGCAGAACATGGGAGAGCGCAAGAATGCTTCAAAAACAATTGGAAAATTCATAATTTTCGGCTTCTGGGGCCCTTGGAGGGGTCTCTGGAGGCGCTCTTGGGGCGTTTTGGCGGCGTCGTCAGCCGTCCTGAGGCCGTCTTCGGCGTGTCCGGGCCTCTGGGGGCTGCCTTTGGGCGTCCTCGGAACGCGGAAATCCTTTTCCTGGAGAGGCTTCCGGGAACATGATTTCGAACGGGCCCTCTTGGGCCTCCCTGAGGCCGTCTTGGGGGGCCTCCTGGGCCGGCTTTGGGGCCTCTTGGGCCGTCTTGGGAGGTTCCGTGAGCCACAGGCCGACCCTCTTGGACCGTCTTGGGCCCTCTTGGGTCTCTCTTGGGCTGTCTTGGGGCTCCTCGGGGGCGTCTGGGGCACTGTGAAGACGAAGCAAACGAGTATGCTGAAAATGTACGTTTTACGTCGGGAATGGGCCGATGTTTGCCTCTTGAAGGCCCTCTTGGGGCCCTCTTCGGCCATCTTCAAGCCATCTCGGGACCTCTTGGGCCTCGCTGAGGCTGTCTTGTGGGCCTCTTGGGCGTCCTGGGAACCCGGAAATCATGTTCCCCGAGAGGCTTCCGGGAACATGATTTCGAACGAGGCCCTCTTGGGCCTCCCTGAGGCCGTCTTGGGGGCCTCCTGGGCCGGCTTTGGGGCCTCTTGGGCCGTCTTGTGGGGTTCTGTCAGCCCCGCGGGACGATCTTTTTGGGCCGTCTTGGGCCCTCTTGGGTCTCTCTTGGGCTATCTTGGGGCTCCGCGGGGGCGTCTGGGGCACTCTGCAGACGAAGCAAGCGAGTATGCTGAAAACGTACGTTTTACAACGGAAATGGACCTCACTGAGGCTGTCTTGTGGGCCTCTTGGGCGTCCTGGGAACCCCGAAATCATGTTCCCCGAGAGGCTTCCGGGAAAATGATTTCGAACGAGGCCCTCTTGGGTCTCCCTGAGGCCATCTTGGGGGGCCTGGGCCGGCTTTGGGGCCTCTTGGACCGTCTTGGGGGGTTCCGTGAGCCCCACAGGCCGACCCTTTTGGACCGTCTTGGGCCCTTTTGAGTATCTCTTGGGCTGTCTTGGGGCTCCTCGGGGGCGTCTGGGGCACTGTGAAGACGAAGCAAGCGAGTATGCTGAAAATGTACATTTACGTTGGGAATGGGCCGATTTGTACATCTTGAAGGCCCTCTTGGAGCCCTCTTCGGCCTTCTTCAAGCCATCTCGGGCCCTCTTGGGCCTCGCTGAGGCTGTCTTGTGGGCCTCTTGGGCGTCCTGGGAACCCAGAAATCATGTTCCCCGAGAGGCTTCCGGGAACATGATTTCGAACGAGGCCCTCTTGGGCCTCCCAGAGGCCGTCTTGGGGTGCCTCCTGGGCCGGCTTTGGGGCCTCTTGGGCCGTCTCGGGGGGGGTCCGTGAGCACCACAGGACGACCTTTTTGGGCCGTCTGGGGCCCTCTTGGGTATCTCTTGGGCTGTCTTGGGGCTCCTCGGGGGCGTCTGGGGCACTGTGAAGACGAAGCCAACGAGTATGTCGAAAAGGTACGTTTTACGTCGGGAATGGCCCGATGTGTGCCTCTTGAAGGCCCTCTTGGGGCCCTCACGGGCCCTCTTGGGGCGCTCTTGAGCGTCTTCGGGGACTCTTCAGGCTTTCTTGACCATCTGTACGGCCCGCGTGGCCTGTCGTGGGCAATTTGGAAGCGGCCCGGGGCAGTCCCAGGGGGTCTGTGACCCCCCAAAGGTCCGGGGGGGCGGCCATAGGGGATGACGGTACCGATCTTGCCCCCCCCCCGGCCTACTCATAGATCTATATATATATATATATATATATATATGTATATGCACATTCCTACCTACATAAATACATAGACATACATACATACGTATGTGTGCATGAGGTGGGGGCATGGGGGAGCATTGTAATACAGTGGGAGCGACTCAGAATACACAGGAATGCGTAGGAATACGAAGGGATGTACAGGAACGCAAAGGGACACTATGGAAGCATAGAATTGCATCGGGCCACATCGGAAGCACATGCCTGAATAGGACAACTCAGGAACCCACATGGACAAACAGGAATGGACTGTAACACATAGACACGTCACGAACCACACTGGAATAGTGGATGTCCAAGACCGTACAAGGGCAAAGAAGGGGGTGGACCCTGACCAGTTCTAGGTAGCAAGGCGTTCCTGTGGGCAAGCCTATTTGGCAGAACATACGAACCAAGCCGTCCCTGGCCTCTAAATACCACAGCTTGTCGTCAACACCGAGATGGCTGAGGCCAACACAATCAAAAGAGAGTTCACCATCCTCGGGCACCACCCCAAGACAGCAACCGCAGTAAAATCAGGAACATGGCACACGAGATGGAACGAAGGAGCTTGCCCAGCCCCAACTATCTCAAACTAGACACACACTCCAACACGTAGATCTGAGGAGTCGGCCAAAATTCGAAGCCCCTCCCGAGAAAGACTCTGCAGTAACCCAACAAGCTAGCTATAGCCATACAGGAAGCCAGGGCATCAAACAAAGAACTTCACAGAGATTGTCCTCAGCCGCCTCTTCGCGAGACCAGCAGCAGCTCACCATATCGCCGCAGCGGTGCACTGAAGCTGTAGGAGGAGGCTCAACACACACTCCATCAGGCAGACCATTTCAAGGCGGTAAACGACTCGCCTAGTGGATGACGAGTGGGTGGTCGGAGACGAAGTGGAAGTCGTCGAAGTGATCGTAGTAGAAGATGAAAGCGTGAACGTGTAGGTGACATCCTGACTTACTCGGCGGATCAAGATGTATTAAAGTTCCCTTCGACCAGCATAACCGTCGGCTTCCCCGCCCGTGGTGACTACCAACATCCATCGTCTCTACATCCCCCCACCAAGGACAGATCCCTCTTGCGAGGCGGTGGCCTATCCATATCCACAGCCTGGGGAAACAATGTCCTGGGATCCCAGGGGGGGCGGTGGATATGGATGCACGTGGGCACCATGGGGCTTCGACTAGATGTATACAGATCCACCGCCTGCCGAGGTCCCCGAAGATCGATCCTTCAGGCGGTGGTTATGGATAACCCCCGCCTCGGACGTCTCCCCTCCACCCCCCGCAGTTCTCCACCTTCCCACCTCCAGTTCCCTGGCCCTCCTCCCCCGAGAACCATCTTCCCCACTCCAGCGTTTACCCTCTTCCCCCTCAGCCTCGTCACCCCCCTCCCCCATGTCTTCTCATCTTCCGCCGATCAAAGTTAGTGCCTGCAACACCCATAGGGATACCGCAATTCTAGCTGACGGCGTATTGAATGTCATGAGCTTGTCTTGGGCTCGGTCATCCTCCTCCTCCTCCTCCACCTCCTCCCCCTCCTCATCATCATCATCATCATCATCATCACCACCACCACCACCATAAACACCACCACCGTCATCACAATCGCCATCGGCATCACCGCCACAACCACCAGGATCAGAATCACCATCACCATCACCATCACTATCGTCATCACCGCCATCGGAATCACCAGCAGCCTTGTTATCTGTATTGCCATCAGCATCATCATCAGCATCGTCATCAGCATCAGCATCATCATCATGAGCATCAGCATCATTGCCATTGTCATCGTTAGCCTCGCCATCGTCAGAAGCATACTCTCGTCATCAGAATCAGCAGCCTCAACAGCCTCATCAGCAGCATCAGCATCATCAGCATCAACAGCATCAGCATCATCAGCATCATCACCAGCAACGTCAGCATCATCACTACCATCATCATCAGCGACGCCATCAGCGTCGTCATCAGCATTATCATCAGCATTAGCATCATCATCAGCGTCAACATCCTCGTCATCATCATCAGCCGCAACAGTAACATCATCATGATCCTCAGCCGCAACATCACAACCACCACCATCAGCATCTGTGCGGCATCATCACCAGCAGCATCATCAGCATCATCGTCGACGTAATCGTGATCATAAGCATCGGCGTCAACAACGTCGTCATCCTCACCAACATCATCATCACCGTCATCATACTCAGCAGCATCATCAGCATCGTCCAAACCATCATCGACATCATCAGCATGGTCAGCATCAGCATCGTCATCATCATCAGCGTCATCAGCAGCATCGTCATCGTCATCATGATCATGAGCATCGTCAGCGTCATCATCATCTATATCAGCATCAGTGTCATTGTCATCATCCTCATCATCATCCTTATTGGCGTCGGCATCATCAACATCATCATCACCACCATCAGCATCGCCATCGTCATCGTCATCGTCATCATCAGCATCATCATCGGCATCATCCTAATTATCATCATCAGCGTCAGCATCAGCATCATCAGCAGCAACATCATCAGCAGCATCAACAGCATCAGCAGTGTCAGCGACAGCCGTACCGTTAGCATCGCCATCTCACATATCATCTCGAGCCCGCCCCTTCTGCCTCCGCATCCTCCTCATCCCCCTCACCCGCAACACCCGCATCATCCTGATCATCCTCACCAACCACCTTCAACTCCCCCTTCCTCCTTATCCTCCTCGTCCTCTGACATCGTCGGGGCGAATGTGGTATGTGTGTGGTGACCCGGTTCAGGTGCACCGCCGGGCTGCGGCCTCTCGCGTGCAAGTCTTTGCTGAGGCTCCGCAGCGGCAACTGTGGCCTGAGCCTGGCTACCTGCGCTGTGTTGTGATCAGGCTGTGCGCCGAACGTCACCGAAGGGCGCGTTCGCTGGCACCCCTCAGTCGTGGGGTGCCGCCGAGGCCTAGTGGTGAGGGGGTAAACCAACATCTCCCCCCCCCGTCCCCACCCAACCCATCCACCCACCACAATGTGACTTTGGCAGCAAGGGAGTTCCACCGCCTCATCCTCCTCCTCCTCCTCCTCCACATCCTTCACCTCTGCCCCTTCCTCCTCCTCCTCCTCCTCCTCCTCCTCCTCCTCCTCCTCCTCCTCCTCCTCCTCCTCCTCCTCCTCCTCTCTCCTCCTCTCTCCTCCTCCTCCTCCTCCTCCGCCTCCTCCTCCTCCTCTCCTCCTCCTCTCCTCCCTCCTTCATCGGCCTCCCCGTCGTCATCCTCCTCATCTTGCTCCTCGACTTCCTCCTCCTCCTCATCTCCTCCCTCCCTCCCTCCCTCCCTCCTCCCTCCCTCACTCCCTCCTTCTGTCCCTCCCTCCCTCTCTCCCTCCTCAGTCTTCCTCGCTCCCTCCCTCCATCCATCCTCATCCTCCCTCGCCCCAAGCCTCCTCCTCGTACTCCTGCTCTCCGCTTGATACTCCTCTTCCTCCTCCTCCTCCTCCTCCTCCTCCTCCTCCTCCTCCTCCTCCTCCTCCTCCTCCTCCTCCTCCTCCTCCTCCTCCTCCTCCTCCGCCCTCTCTCCGCCTTATCATCTTCCTCATCCGCAGCATGATCCTCTTCATCGTGGTCGTCATCACCACCACAACCACCATCATCATCACCATCATCAGCATCATCATCAGCATCAGCATCATTGTCATCAGCAGCATCAGCATCGTCAGCATCATCATCAGCAGCATCATCGTCATCATCATCATCAACATCATCACCATCATCATCAGAAGCAGCAGCAGCAGCACCATTACCGCCGTCGTCATCATCATCAGCATCATCAGCATCATCATCAGCATCATCAGCACCAGCAGCATCAGCAGCAGCAGCAGCCGAAGCAGCAGCAGCAGCAGTATCAGCATCATCATCAACATCATCATCATCATCATCATCGTCACCATCATCATCATTGGCATCGGCATCAGCATCGCCATCATCGGCAGCATCATCGACAGCGTCATCAGCATCAGCATCAGCATCAGCATCATCATCATCATCATCATCATCAGCAGCAGCAGCATCATCATCAGCATCAGCATCAGCAGCATCATCAGCATCAGTATCAGCATCGGCATCATCAGCAGTAGCATGAGCAGCAGCATCATCATCAGCAGCATCATCAGCAGCATCGGCATAAGAATCATCATCATCAGCAGCATCATCATCAGCTAATCCTCCTCTCTGAAGGGCTTTGAAAGTCTGAAGGCCTCTTAAGGGAGGAGGGGAGACAAGAAATTATCCGGGCAATATACGCAACCATGTGCAGTTGTGGGCACCGCATTGTGGGTACTGTTTTCGGTGGAGCTCCCCGTGGTCCCACAGGGACCTCCACCATAGGCCCTAGTGGCAAGGCCCGCATGCGTCCGCGCGCCCATTTCGGCACACCCCTCACACGCCTCTTGACTCCATTGAGAGCTCCACCGAAGCTCTCAGGCCCGGGGGGTCGCGTGAGGTTCTCCACAAATTTCGGCACACCCCTCAGACGCTGCGTGGCCCCACAGGGAGCTCCACCCAAGCCCCCAAGAGGGGGGGGGTCGCATGCGGTTCTCCACCTGTTTCTGCGCATCCCTCATACGTTCCGTGGCCCCACAGGGAGCTCCACCCAAGCCTCCAGGAGGGGGGGGTCGTACGCGGTGTCCCCAATCACATGCGGTTCTCAATCAATTTCGTCACACCCTTCACGCGTTTCATGGCCTCACATGGGGCCTCACAGGGAGCTCTACCGAAGCTCTCAGGGCGGGGGGGGGGTCGCATGCGGTTCTCCACCCATCTCGGCACACCCCTCACACGCTTCGTGGCCGAACATGGAGCTCCGCCGAAGCCCCCAGGGGGGGGGGTCGCATGCAGTTCCCCCGACCAGTTCGGCACATCCCTCACACCCTCCGTGGTCCCACAGGGAGCTCCACCGAAGGCCCTAGTGGCAAGGCCTGCATGCGTCCGCGCGCCCATTTCGGCACACCCCTCACACGCCTCGTGGCTCCATTGAGAGCACCACCGAAAGCGGTGCCCACAAACCGGAACCCCAAACTGTATGTGGCTGGGTGTTTCGCCAAGAAAAATGGACGGGTCCCAATGCGGCGCCAGAGGCGCCACCCAGGAGTGCGTTGAACGGAGGTCCAGCGCCGATCCGGGAAGTCCACACGGACCCCCAAAAGCAAAAGTGTATCCCATGCTCTTTCTGGGTCCTCTATGCGTGGTGCCAAGGATCCTGGTGCCCCTAGGTCGCGCCGCGTCGCCGACGCACCGATCGACGACTGCCTCGGCGATGCCGAGGTGGTCCACATCTCGGGAAAGATCCGATGCGGGGGAATCGGCGTGCAGATTTCGCCGCGCATTGCCGACCCGTCAGCGTTGCGGTACAGTCTTGGGGCTCCGTGCACCGTGGCCACTCTTGGACAGCATCAAGCTTGCCCTACACGGCCGGGGAAAACCATAAGGTCAGAGGGGAAGGACGCAAGGCCATCGGGCGTCCAGGTTGCGACAACTGGCCAGATCAGCTTGCTTAGACCAAAAACAACAGGCACGGACTCGAAGGCTCCAAAGTGGAGGCCCAAGCTGCAGTCCACTGACGACATGCCGATCAAAGAAACAGCGCGATCTGTCGAGTCCTCTCGCCGACAGCTGACTCCGAATACCGCCATGCGATGGTCGTCAGACCCGCAGCAGCCGCCCGCCAATCGTCGGCACGCCTCCCAGACATTCGATGTTTGATTTTTTGTTACGGTGTCCCCGGAAGTCCCGATCCAGGCCGGCGTATCATTCCGAGCCGTTTTGTGACGGCCCCGGGGCCCATGGAGGGCCCCCTCGGAGTGCGAAAGCGGCCGACAACCTCGCCTCGCGATGTTGTAAGAAAAACAACGGCATAAACATAACCTGTCGGAGCTCCGCACGGATTCCTTGGATCGGCGATGGACCCCTGGCGCGCGCGGAGCGCGCCAGGGGCGGCGCCAGAGGCGCCGGCAGGGGGACCCCAGCGCCGATCCAAGAAATCCGAGCGGCGATCCGAAAGGTTACTTTATTTTTTTTATCTTCTGACTACCTACCAGACCACCCGAACCCAACACGAAGACCCGAATTTCGGGTTGGGGAGGGTGCGGGTTCCATATGCGTTTTTTCAATGTTCCACGAACCCCCCCCTCTGGAAACGGAGGGCAAATTGGGGCCTTCGGGTTGGGTTTGGGATGGTTTGGTGGGTGGGGATCTTCTGAGACAACGTCACGACGGAATGCTTGTGTCCGCGTTTGGCCTTCGGGGGACCCTCCCCAGGCCCCGGGGCCGTCGACTCACGGCTCGGGCTGGAGAGCCGGCCTGGGGTGCCGTAAGTGTATGTTTAAGTCGGGCCTGTCCCCCTACAGGGGGATTTTGGAGGAAAATAAAGAATAGTCAAAATGGAGTAAAAGATCAAAAAATAGTCCCGATTATTTTTCACTATTTTTGAATATTCATCCTGTGGAGGGACAGGCCCGACCTAAGTGTATGTTCATGCCGTCTCTGGGGAAATTAGGAGGTGCCGCGGAATCCACGGACCCCTCCCGGGGTGCGTTCCAACATGCATTTCGAGGCGAATGCAGCCGTGGCCACGAGGGCCTCCCAGGAGGCCCGAAAAGGCGAACGCGAGGCAAAGGTGGCGGCATCGGTACCGTTTCCCCTCTGAGCTATTCTCCCGGAAGCCTTTGCTTCGCCCTCGATGCCACGACGCGAACACGTCTGGACTTTCTGCACAGACTCTGGGACGCACTGACCCGGGTCAATGCAAAACCGGGCCAGTCGCGCCTTGCAGGGTCCTGCACAAGCCTGCAGGATCCTGTAAGATCCTGCACGCAAGCCGGGGTCAGTGCAACCCCGGCTCTGCAAGATCCTGCAAGATCCAGCGCTCTTCGCCGAGCGCGTTCCACTACTCGCACAGTGCTTACTCGCAAACTGCCGAAAAACACCTGTCTGCTTCGGCGCAATCTATCGCAGATCCCTGGCGGGGGGTCCAGGCCATTTGCGAGCAGTGACTTTGCGAGCAGTGGAAAGCGCTCGTCGAGCTCTGGCTGGCCCCTGTTTGCATGGACCCCCGTCCCTTCTAAGGCCCCGAGCCCGCAGACTTGGCGGCGCGCACAATGGGCTAGGGGGAGGGGGGGGGGCGGCTTCCTAGGAGGCTAATGCTTCGAAGGCGTAGGCCTTACATCTAACTAATTACAGACAAGGCCCGCATCTTCGAGAAAGCAGCCTCCTGCCATACGAAGCCGTCCCCCCTCCCCCCGCTAGAGGCCTCCGAGATGGGGCCCGAGTAGATGGGGCCGAAGGATCGCGCCGCATGGCCAATGCATCGCGGATGACTCTGCGATGCATCGGCGATGCATCAGCGACGACGTCGTCGGCGACATCGGCGTGGGAGAACACGGGCTCCCCATTGAGCCGCATCGCCGATGCCCCGGCGATGCGGCGCCATCCTCCGACCCCGTCTGCTCCGACCCCGTCTGGGAGGCCCAAACCTCTGCCGCCCCTCTGTGCGTGGCCGCGTGGAGCAACCGGACCGCCCCCTGAGACGGCCACGGCAGGTCTGCACCGAGCCCCCCCTTGGCGGGGCGCGCACGCAGGGGGTGCAGGGAGGGCGGGAGGCTTCTCAAGAAGGAGGCTGCTCCTCAGAAGGCGCCGGCCTCACATCTGCAGATGAGGCCCGCGAACCTCGGAGAAGCAGGGGTGCTCCTAAGAAGCCCTCCCCCCTGCCCCTCAGCCCCCCCCTCCGGCGCGGGGCTGCCCCTCCCTGGGAGCCCCCGACCGACCCCTCCGCTGCGCCCGGCCGGCCGCCGGCTGCCGCTGCGCCCCGATCCGCCGGCCGGGGCCTCGACGCTCCGGGGGCGCGGGGCGGGGGCCGGCGGGGCGCCGTGGTGCTCGTGGTGGCCGAGATGGTGCTGCTCGCGGCGGGGGGGGGGCAGGGGCGGGGGGCGGGGGGGGCGGCAGGGCAGGGCAGCAGAGTGCAGGCTCGGGGATGCCACGACAGTGGACACCCCAGCAGTCCTATCCTTGCATGTGGGATGTGCTTACAATGTCCGAAGCATGTTCTAAACATGTGTTAAGCATATTTCTGCAGGTTTCCAACATGTTTAACACATGCTGTAGACATCTGGAAATTACTTGGCAACATTATTCCTCTCCATTGATCGTCTTCTTCAAGTGTAGGGTAGAGAATCAGCTCACTTAGCTGGTTTTCCCAGCGCCTCCTCTTGGCGCCGGGGGCGGCGCCCATGCATCGAGGGACGGGCCTGGCGGCGGGGCGGGAACCAGCTGCACGTATCCTGCCCTTTCGTCAAGCCCGAGAGGGGCGGGGCCAGGCAGGATCAGTCATCATCGAATCGAGCAGTATCTGCTGGGATTGGAACGTGTATCAAAACGGAGCTGATCGGCTCGGGGTCGGGGTCGGAGCGGATCGGCGGCGCCAGGATACACAACGGCGCCCACGCCAGCGTCGGGCCGCATCGGATCGCTGGAACATCGAAATCGAATCAAGTCGGGCCGGCCAGAGCCGATGCCAAATCGGACCGCTCGGATCGAAATGTGCCTTGGGCTAGGTAGCGACATCCGAACCCTACCCCCACCAACCATCGATTCTCCTGAATCGATGGGGGCAAGGGTAGGCTTCGGGATTTCGCCACGTGTCAATCGAATTCCGAACCCTAACCCCCGCCGCGAGTTGCCCAGATCGTTCATCGGCGAGGCCAAGGTTCGGATTTCGCCGCCGAGGGGCGGTACGAGCGGCGGGGGGCGGGGGGGGCGGGGCAGAGCTGCTCGACGGCGCCTGAAGTTCACCCCGCGAGCAAGTATGCGTCGGGGCCGTCAGGTGGGCGGCACCCAAGAGGCCCTGCAGGCCCCCCTGGGTTGGCCGCCGCCGCCGCCCTCCCTGGTGGGTTGGAAACTTCCGCGGCGAGCTGGGACTTTCCCCCGAGGCGCCGGGGCTTCCCCCCGCGGCGCCGTGGAAAGTCCCAGTCCGTCGCCGCGTCTGTCTTGCGACGAAGTCGCGCAGGGCCGCCGCTCGAGCTCATCGAGAGCAAACTGACAGGCTCTCGTGCGACCGCGCTCGGTCTCCGAGGAGCGCGCAGGTGGAGGGCGCGGGGGCAGCCAGGGCGCAGGAGAGCGGCAGCAGAAGGGCCCCCATACGGGGCCTCCCAAAGCTGCCGGCAGGGCGCACCTGCCTCCACCGCACGGCTTGCTGCTCCCCCGCGATGCCGGCCAGGGCGCGCGCAGGGGGGGCCCCATCGCAGGATGCATCCCGGGGGGGGGGAGTCCGGCGGGGCCAGGCGACGAGCAAGGGGCAAAAGGCAGGGCCTCCTGGCGGCCCAGATCCTAGGAGGGCCCGGAACATCAGTGGGGGCCCAGAAATCTGCGGGTGGGCCAAAGCGGAGTGAATCTCCAAAGGGGACTGGGGACGCGCAGACATGGGGTGGGGCAAGAGAGGGGGGCCTTCCGAGAGGGAAGAGGGTATCTTGGAGGTCATCCCGCCTTCCAAGAGGCATAGTGAGAAGCCGCCAATCCTTTCGGGGAACCACCCTTTTGCTCCTTCCAGGCAATGGTTGGTGGCGAGCCTGGGGGGGAAGTGAGAAGGGCCAGGCCTACTCAGAAGGCTCGAAGTTTTCCGGCCTTCTGAGAAGTTGTTTAAGCCTTCCTTGAAGATACAGAACAATACCTCTCAGAGGGTGCGAGGGCTTCTGAGAAATCCCACCGCCTTCTGAGAAGGCCTTCTCCTTTTCATTTCCACTCCTCACTTTCCGCCGAAATGTCACAGTTGAACAGTTACTTCAAGACCCGCTTCTGGGTCCTCTGTGATTTGGCAAGCTGTGACGTTCCTGGTGGCAGCCCGCGCTGCACCTTCGCCAACTGCTGCTTACCATACTCATCGAGCTGGTGCGCGCACTCCTTGACCAGCTTTCTGACCGCAGGCGGCCTCCCGGTGGCATGATGCCTTCACAAAGGGCCACCACCCCGCTCCGCCCTGTTTTTCGCGCCGCCGAGCTGGCGACGCGCAGGGGACCGCTGAGCGGTCGATCATGACCACGGGCCCCTTGCCGTACATCGGCGCTCGTGGGGGGCATCGTTGGGGGAGGCGGCCCGCCTCAGGGGAGGAAACACCGCCCTGGAATCGGCGACGCATCGCCGATGCACTGGCGACGGGCCCCCGACGGCAAGACCGCACATGCATGGGCGGGGTGGGGCACCCGGGCCCCTCTCGGCGATGAGTGGGCCACTGGGGACCGCTGCCTCCCCCCCCCCCCCCGCCTCCCCCTCCCCCCCTCCCCCTCCCCCCCAGCGTTGCCCCCGACTGCTGCAGGTGCATCGGCGGCCGCCGGCCCTCGGCCCCCTCCGGCGGCCCCCAGCTCAGCGCGCAGGGGGGTCGGGGGCCTAGGGAGTCCACAGAGGGCGTACGCGGCGCCCAGCTATGCACATGAAAACGGCCTCTCGATCCGCGAGACTGGCCGAGTATGATACGGACATTTGCGCAATGCGTGCTCTCGAAACTAGTGGAATCATGTACGTGTACGTCCTTCTCTCGCTCTTGAGGGGGAGGGGGGCAGCCCCGCCCTCCGAAAGGCGAGAGTGGGGGGGGGCTTCTCGAGAGGGGCCCCGCCTCTCCCGACGGGGGGGGGCTTCCTCCTGGCGGGAGGGCGGCGGGGACGCGGGAGGATGATGTCCTGAGGCTCCGAGGGGAGTGAAGACGGGAGGAGCAGGGACCGACCGTCGCCAACGAGAGCGCCCCTCGGCGGAGAGGCAGTCGTCCGGTGCCGGGTGCGTGCCACCCCGCCCAGGCTGTGGCCACACACGCACACACACACACACAGACAAGTCGTTCATTTCTAATCGTGCTCATTTCTAATTGTGCTCGTTTCAGATTGTTCCTGGCCCCCTAGTGGCCAGGAAGAGGCCCAGGATAGAATAATTAGAAATGAAAGGAGATTGGCCCCCCCCCCCAAAAAAAGGCTCGAATTATTAAAAAATGAACAATGTGGACGGGCCCTCGCTGGCGGTGGTCTCCACTTCTCCTCGGAGGGGGGAGGCGGCGGGCCTCCGGAGAAAGAAGAGGTCGGCCCGCCCTCTCGCGCCTGTCTTGCCCCGTTCTCCTGTGCGCCGCCGCGGAACAAAAAAAAGGAGCGGACAGAAGTTATCGTTTGGAGCCTCGCGTGCACTTGACGTGCACATGCAGGGTGAGTTTTAATGTTTTGGTTGGGGCTATCGCTTGGGATGCCCTCGTGTTATGCGCCAAAACGTTAATACATGATAGACAATGAAACGAATGGTAGGCAACTGACTTTCAAAATGGTGCTCTCGCCAGCAGGACTCGGCCACCTGAACACCGGGCGCCCCGAAGCAGCTCCCGAGGGTAGTGTTTTGTCTCGGAGCTTGGGCCTCTGGGGGGGCGTGTTCGAGGAGTCGGGGCGAGGAGCAAAAAAACAAAACTGACCGCGGCGAAGGACCGATCCTGGGGACGGGGTGTCGAGCCTCCCTGGGTGGCCAAGGCTTCGAACAGAAATTGCCGTCAGAGGTCTGGAATGTCCCCCCCCCACCCCACCCCCAAACCTCAGAACCGTCTGCCACTTCTGAATGAAGATCGGGGGCAGGGTGGTTGATCCAGCATGCACTACTGGGAAGCCAGAACACACACACACACACACACATAGAGACAGAGCACGAGGAGACCGCTTGCTGCAGCTGCTGGGTGCACGCGCGTAGGACCGGCGTACCTGGCCATACGAGGACCGAGGGCTGGAAAGACATGCGCTCACATGTGTGTGCAGCTCTCGGCGAGGCTGGCCAGTTAGCAAGCTATCCCCACACCCCCCGAGCCTCAGGTCCGTCTGCCACTCCTGAATCTTGGAGGTGAGGGGGAGGAGTAAATGCCGCAACGATCCCAGACTTCCGAGCCCGTGCTGTTCCTCGCGACGTGGCTCTATCTCTCTCTCTCTCTCTCGGCCATTGCCCCTCCAGCCCCCCTCCCCTGTCTCCCTTCTGAAAAAAAGGTTCAGCGGAATGCAGACAAGAGTGTGTCTCCCTCTGGACCCAGGTCCCTCCAGACTGCTGCTGGAGACCAGCAGTCAAGTCGATGTGCTAAGATGCTGGGCCTGGGGTGCGGTAAGCGCCGACACTGTCCAAAATGCCGGCGGGGAATTGAAGCACGTCACAATACAGTTGTGATGTTACTACCATCCTGCGCATCCCGTCCCGTCCCGTCTCCCCCCTCCTCTCTCTCGCTCACTCCCTCCCCAGTCCACCCTCGATTCTCCCTCCTCGCTCCCCCATGGAGGCCCCTCTTGGAGGCATCCGAGGCGAAACGGCAATGCCCGGGGCTGCACGCGCGGCGAGCCTCAGGGCGCCCACCCTCTGCGAAACCATGGCCTGAGTCATCTCCAGCACTCCCGGAAAGCTGCCCCCCCCCCGGCACAGCCAAGCGGCGACAGATGAACGCCCGACAGCACCCATGGAGAGCGAGGATGAGGTACGCGTAAGGACACCAGCCTCCGCTGCAGGTCCCGAGGGGCACAGCAAAGTGGATAGAAAGCGTGCGGGAGGGTGTGAGGGGGGTGGACGGGCGCACTCGCAGCGCAGCAAGACACGAACACGTGCGCGCGCACGAACGCACACACGCGCACACGCACACGCTCACGCACACGCGCACACACACACGCACACACACACACACACACACACACACACACACACACGCACACGCGCCCACACATACACACACAAACACACACAGACACACATACACACACAGACACTCAAAGACACACACACACACACGCACACATCATCCAACCAACCAACAAGCAAACAACCAAACAGACCAAAGAGAACGTGCATGGTTCGTCATGCACATAGGCCCGAGACAGCCCCCGGGGGAAACGAAACCGAGGAAAAGCGCCTCCATCGGGAAAGCACACACACATCCACACGCGCATACACACACAAACACAAACACAAACACACACACACACATACACACAGACACACACGCACGCACGCACGCACGCACGCACGCACACACACACACACACACACACACACACACACACACACAC